TTAATCTTTCCTCTTTCCATTCCACTCTCTTTTCCTTCCCTTCCCTTTCCTTCCTCCCTCCCAGTCTCCTTTCTTTTCCTTTCTTTTCCTTCCCTTCCCTTTCCTCTTTCTCTTAATCTTTCCTCCCTTTCCTTCCCTTTCCCTCTCTCTCTCTCTCTGACTCTCTCCCATTCTCCCTTTTCTTTTCCTTTCTTTTCCTCTCAAGCCAGCAGAAGCTCAAGTGACTTCAAAAGGGAGTTATTTGGGGAGGGAAAATGGGCCTTCGGTGCAACGACATCGCTAATCAAACGCATATATTGCTGGAATTATGAGCGCTGTCGTGGTTTTTAAGAAACTACGTCAACGCGGGGTATTATATATGCTTGGAATTTGGAGGTGGCTAACGACGGTAGGTAGCTGAAAGGCAGTGGGACATTGCAAATAAGGGATGAAAATGGCATTTCCTCTTAATAGGAGGTTAATGGGAAAGGAAATGATTTATGTGATACAAATTATTTAATTAGTTGGTAGCCATAAAGGAAGCAGGGAAGAGTCAGCTGGTTCGGGCAGATGCTGATAAGGAAATATTTCATTTTTCCACTTGCAACCGGAGGCAGCAGCGACATCCTAACATTAATATTTAAAAAAAACGGTATGTCAAAAATCATTTGTTTTTTCCGACTTCCTTGCTTGTAAGACTTGCGAAGAGCAGGGGGCCAAAACTTGTTGTTTTATCACGTAGGGCGTCCGTAGAAAAGGGAACGGCTCTCTTGTTTGCTGCCTACCTGAATTTTTTTTCATTATTTCTCAGAAATAATCTATTCCAGCACATCAGATATTCACACACGGGGCTGTGTCTCAATGGTGGTATTGAATGTTTTTTTTACTACCCGTTCTGCGGGCGTGGCTTGGCTTGGTGGGCGTGGCAGGAGAAGGATATACTGCAAAATCCCCCTTCCCTCCCCACCCCACTAACCTGCTTTCCAGCTCCATTCTCCTGTGCAGGGCAGTCAAAGAAGAGCCAGCCGATCAGCTGTGGGTGTGGCTTGGTGGGCGTGGTGTTCTGTGGGCGTGGCTTGGCTTGGTGGGCGTGGCAGGGGAAGGATATTCTGCAAAATCCCCCTTCCCTCCCCACCCCACTAACCTGCTTTCCAGCTCCATTCTCCTGTGCAGGGCAGTCAAAGAAGACCCAGCCGATCAGCTGTGGGTGTGGCTTGGTGGGCGTGGTGTTCTGTGGGCGTGGCTTGGCTTGGTGGGTGTGGCAGGGGAAGGATACTGTAAAATCTCCATTCCCTCCCCACCCCACT